TTATCCATGGTGGGTTGCAGTGCAAAATCATCCACGTCAAAAGTCATCGTGACTAGATCACCCCCAACACTACAAGAAAACTGCCAACCAAAAACTGCAGACAACCCACAAAACACAATGAGCAAAAAGAATGGCAAAAGAAAAGAGCGGACGAGCCCCCACTTTATGTTACGCCCCAGTCTAGGGGTACAGGAACGCAACATAAGTTTGAAAAGATTGCCCCGCCCTGGTCCCCAAAACCATACACAGAGGGAAAACCAATTTCTTAGTGAATGGTGGTTTATTTCTCTACACTGCAAAATGAAGCTCCGGGGTGAACAAAGGCCAAAATAACAAACAAAACAAGCCAAGTCAGGAGGAGGTGCTATCTAAAACCCTATGTGAAATCAAACATCAAACAAAAGACAAGCACTACACCTAACTCCCTAACTGAAATAAACAGGAGAAAACAGTGCAAGGGAAAACAATAAGGCAGCTCACCCCTTCTGTTCCAGTGCCATTTACAATGTGCTATTTACAATGAAGACTAATGTACACACTATATACAGAACTCAGACAGTCGCAAAAGTCACAGGCACAAATGTCTCAGGTTTTGGAGGCCAGGGTCAGGTCTGCTGCTGCTGTCAGTGGCTGCCCCGGGACAACTGCTGGTGATGGATTTTGCAAAATGATACAATTGTAGGTTTTTATGAAAAATCAGCAATTTCCTGGACGCCGCAGGTCCAAATTCTGGGTTATGGATTTTTCTCTTTTTATTTATTCATTTATTTATTGTGACCAAACGTTTCTATAGACTCAACATTACTTTTAAGAAGGTTGAAATGGAAACAACATGTATTTGTGGCAACTACATATAATCTGTGAACATGGAAACAACTTTATCCCAGAAGGCTGATTCTGATCTGGACGAAGCGTTTTCACTGGGAGAAATGTTTCGTCGCTCATCCAAATTCAAATTCAAATTCAAATTCAAATTTTATTTGTCACGTACACAGTCATACACAGTACGATATGTAGTGAAATGCTTGGACAACTGCTCGTGACCTAAAGAAAACAAAAAAGGAAAAGGCTATGAATAAGATAGGAAATAAATATGAAAAATTAAAAAGGGTAAATTTAACTAGGAAGGAATAAAATATAAATTAAGGTTAAAAATGAAATAACTGTACAACACAAATTAGAATGAAGGGTAAATTTAACTGGGAAGAATAAGATAAAGATAAATATATAAATTAAAGTTGAAAATAAAATAACTGTACAACAAAATACACAATACACAATATAGAACTATATAAGAATGTATGAAGAAATCTAAATATAAATAAATATATACACAATAACAGCAGCTGTACAAGTATTAACCGGAAATGAAGAATATAGTGACCAGTGTTGTGCAAAACCAAAGTCCAGAAAGTCCAGTGTGTGTGTAAGAACTGTATGTGTGGGTCAGTACTGTGTGGTGGTGTGATCCAAGTGACTTCTTCAGTCTCAGCTGACTGCAGGTTTCCCCAACCTTATAAACAGTCAGTGTAGTGACTAACGCGTTATTAAGGAACCCGTTATAGTAACTACGTTATTATTGTGGTAACGAGCACGGTAACTAGTTATTATGCCAAAATCAGGAACACATTTATCGTTACTGGGATTTAGATAGGGTCGTTATTCGCTACTTCGTGTGCTGCGTTCGACTTACCTCGGAAATCGGACCATGAACCTGGGAATGTCTCACTCGAGTAAACGGCGTTCTGGTTAGTCGGGATTCCAATATGGCAACGCCCTCGAAAACGGTTGTTTTGCTAGCCCTCTATAAAAACAAATTACTTCTAAACACATATGCAGCTCATCTGCAGTCTGGCGTTACCTACATCTTCCTACCACTTAATCTACCATCATACGTGTGGGACTAATAAAGGTTATCTTATCTTATCTTATCTTATATTTTATTTATCTAGCTATATTATTTTAGTACTTATCATTTAATTTATTTCTCTTTGTGAGGCTGAAAATACTTTTTGCAGTTCAGCTTACAGTTTACACAGAATGGACAAACCTCACTGTGTTCATGTTGAATCATTTTTGCACTATTTTGATACCTACAGCTCCTAAATGGTCTGAGCAAGGGTGTAGATTTGGTTTTGGCATTGGTGGGGACGGATGATTCAACCACCGAACCCTGCCCTGTTTCTTTTTTTTTTCTTTTTTGTCTTTGCTTCTTGATTAAAAAAAAAAAAAAAAAAGGAGAAATATACGTGCCTACATGTGCTATTCTGCATGCTTTTAAACCATTTAAAATTACAATTCATAGTTTTATATGTGAATTATATAACGTTAAATTACTATTAAACAAATGACTGACTAAACTATTTTAAGGCTTTAGTTTACTTCCACATTCCATATAAATCAGGTATCACACAAAAATAAAATGGCTTCAAATACAGTCATGACAATAAAAGAATATGGCTTTAAGGACTTAACAACATTACTTCAGTTATAGTACACCAACATCTCTGATACATTAGCACTAAGGGAATACTGAATGTCCATAAAACTACTCATCTAAGATTACCACAAAGTAAAAGATCTCTCAGCAAAATTATGCAACATTTTAGGCACTATTGCCCCGATCAAATCAGTGAGCTGAGATTTTTTTATTCTAAACATGAACTACTGTTACAGCTACTGGTGTCCCACACAACAACTCAATGTCCACTATGTGAAGGAGCCAAACACATGCCTTCTCCTCTCGTTAACTGAGATGAACTGCTGGCATATTGGTTTTACATCTATACTGTCCAGTCTCTCCTGGTGGACATACAGCAGCATTGTTTAATCTCATTTGAGTCATTGTTAACCTTAGCCATCTTTTTAGTTTTCTGAGATCACTGAAGCTTCTTTCAGCCTCAGTACATGCGTTTTATCCTCAGATTAAAATTATTATTCTGTGCTTGATGTGCCTCACCTTTGGCCCTGGCTCCTCCCCTCTGACTGCACTAGGACATATTGCCACCTGATAAAATGACACATTGATTCGTGCCATATAAAAAGTGAGACATGTCAATTCAGATTCTTTGTCAAATATACACTAATGAATCAATTTACATCAACAGCCTAACAATTGTTATGATAATAAATACTAGTTAATCTATAGCACCAAATCATCAGTCAGTCACCTGTGACCTCGCCTCTTCACCTCTGTCCGAGCTACAACATGGCAGAGCTACATGACAATAAGAATAAAATGTGGAGCTGCTTCAGTGTTTCTGTCACTTTGTGCAGATCTTGACTCATCAGTAATGTTTGTAGGGTGAGTGCATTTTTTAAAACAATTTGTGAAAACTGCACTACAAGGTGGAATATTTGCAAAATCATGACTACCTCATGATATTTTGTCTCAAAAATTAACCCTATGAATATGTCAGTGCCATTAGGATGAAATTATTGTGTCACCAACATTTTAACGTTAGACATACAATTTTAACAGCCTCTGTAAACTAATATCCTGGCTTGCTCGAGGCTGCCGTTTTCTCTGACATTTTCAATCAAAATTAGAAATGCTACTCTGAGACTGAGCTAACTAATAGTCCTGCATGTTGTGCAGTTAGTTTACAAAACACGCTATTCATGGTTACATACAATTTTAGACTGATGCGGGCCAAAGCCTAGCATAGCCTGTAACGTTATTGTGACGGACACATTTTATGAGTGAACTTGGCTTTAAGTGACTTACAGGTTTCTTTGAAAAATACTTTCTTATATCCAGGTTCTTCCTTGTTGCTGCCATCCTCCTCGTCTCCTTGCAACATCAGTAATGTTTGTAGGGTGAGTGCATTTTTAAAACAATTTGTGCAAACTGCACTACAAGGTGGAATATTTGCAAAATCATGACTACCTCATGATATTTTGTCTCGAAAATTAACCCTCCTCTCCTCCTTGCAGCGCAGGCTTGCTTGCCGCTGCTAAAACTAAACAGAGCTCCCTGAAAGGCACAGCCAATCACATTGGCCATATTTGTCACATGAGGTAGGACTCCAGTAGAGAACGTAATTTAACTCTTTCTGCACCGCTGGGTGAATGAGACGTTGACAGATCGCTTTTTTTTTTCCTATCAGGTTTGTTTTTCTTTACTCGAGGAGATCAAATTAATAATCGCTGGATGTTGGTGGGGACACGTTCCTTCCATCCATGCCAAATCTACGCCCTTGGGTCTGAGGCACAGTTTAATGTTGTCACTGCTAAAAGTAAACTTTCTACCCATTTCAATGGCAAAAATAAATCTACCTTTCTGAGTTTCTGCTGATGAATTGTGCTGTAACAACTGTTGCTGTGCAAGATGCTGCAGAAACACTGAAAAGCACCACAATAAACCAACTCTGCCAACCACAAGTGTAATATGTGTAGTATGTAACACACACAGAGCAACCCTCTGATGTCTTTTCTGAAGCTGCCGTGTGTATTAACCAGTTTGCATTTTCAATATTCATGTGTAACTTGATAATCTGCAAATGTGCATTTGTTGAATTTGTCTGCAATAAAAAGTTGAACCTGTCTCGTCATGCTTCTTCTGTCAATATCAAGAGACGGGCAGAGCTCTATTCTCTACTCTATGCTATCAAGGTTATTATGTACACTGTGTTTAGTCAGCAGATCATACGGGCACCTACACACACATTTAAACTATAATGAATATGCAAAGAAGATAACCAGGAATTAGCTTTCACAGTTCATGTGTGCTTTTCTCAGCACTCGTGGTTCAGACCACGCTCATTTTTAACTCTGACCTCATTTTGAGCTCAGCTCTAATTCTGTAAAGTGTTGTGAGTCCATCTCACACACTTGTATCACATCAAAAACATTTGTTCACAGATTGAAAAAGGCTTCCTGCCACAGAGAGCATCTCCTGGATGACTAAGACGTTGTAAAGAATATCAGACACGCTGTCACTGCTGGTAAAACTGCAGCTTTGCTGTCTTGAAGTTTTATCCACTTGCATCTGGTTAACCATGTATGCAAATAAGGAGGAAGATGAGAGGGTGTCATTTTTTAACACTTCACTTCTGTATCTTAAAGACTGGGATGAGTCGACTTCTGCTTTACAGAAAGGACTGTCAGTTATCTACTTGCATTTTAACGGCTCACACAGAGCAATGAGAGGAGCAGCTATGAGTGTAATAACAGCAGTCAGTGGATTTGTTCTCCTCACTGTGACAGGTTGGTCTGCTGTGAGTAATTCTACTTTGAGTAACCAAATGTGACAGAAAATATAATTCAGACACTGATTTTTTTTCAGGTGAATGTATTTTTCTTCCATCTGTAAAATGATGCTGTGTGAAACATCGTCTGTCCTTACAGCTCTGCAGCTCCAGCCTTCTGTCTCCATTCTTGAATGTTTTTCTTTGCACTGTTAACACTCAGCAGTTCAGAGTTTTACAGTCTAATCATTTTATCTGCGTTTTATTCCAGTGCCATAAATCTGGACACTAATGATGTTTGGGTGAAAGACCCAATAATTTAGTCTAATTATTATAAATCATCTGTCGTCTTAGATTCACAGAATGTATTTGTTGTGTTTAAGTGGATTTCCTCAGGATGAACATGGCTGACGTTTATCAGTGTGAACTGTTTGTTCCTCTTTTTGTTTTCATGCTGACAAAACCCAGACTATCAGTCTCACTTCACCTCTTTCCTTTTTTCTTTCTCTACATAAAGACCAAATTGTAAAGTCATGGCTGCCATTGACTAAGTGATAGTGACACTACAGCCACTTCTAGCTGCTCTGTAAAATGAATGAGTCATTTAACGTTTAACAAAACTTTATCTGTGAAATGGAATTTTTTAGCTCGTTACACAGAAAAGCCAACATGTAACGTCCCCATATGAGAACATGTCTCTGTGTCTGTGTTTGTGTCCTTCTTTGTGGTTCTGCTGAAGTGTCTCTATGTGTCAGTGTGTCTCTTGTTATATAAGTGTGTTTGGGTGTAATTTATCCTAGAAGTTCCTTGTGTAAGAAATTGTTAATTCCATAGACTACATTTTTACTTTTTATTCTTTACCCTTTAAATCAGAATGAGGTCCAACTACTTTTATCTGTTTTATTTATTTATTATTTTACTTTCTTTTTAAAATCCTGTCCTGTTCTCCTATGTTTTCCATTTTATTTCTGTTTATTGTGCTTCATTTTGGTCAACAGTGGATGTTTTAAGTGTGTGCTAGAACTCAATTTGACTAAACTAACAAAATACTCCATTAGGCCTATTTTGGGTCTAACCACTGCTCTTCAGTAGTGCTTAGAGTACTACAGTAGTGATTAGTGCCTTTCTGTTTTGGAGTGTTTCTGAGTTAATAATTGATTATCTAAAATGTACCCTTTCATAACAAAAACTCTGATACTGACTGTGTAAGAATCTATATCATTGCAGTGACGGGCATGTCACTGCAACCCCCTCTGGCTTTTGCTCCACGGCTGCGGGGTGACCCTTGGGCTCTCCTCAGCTCTTTCATGGACAGTGGCACAGTTGTCCCTCCAGTTAATGTCCCATTAAAAGAGCCATAAATGTAATAAAAAGAGTACTGTAGGACCATGGTTGCCTCGATTTTTATTTCTTTCTTCTTCTTTGTGGTTCCGTTCGTCGCCACTCTGCCCGTGTAACCAGTATGTAAGAAAAATAACAAAAGATGGCCAATTTTAGAAACTTAAGGAATGGTAGGAGCCAAGAGGATGGGTAACCACAAGGAAAACACAACCACAAGATGTTGAAACTGCATCTCATTGTATTAAAATATTGTAAACTGTATTACAAGCGCCTTGAGGCGACTTTTGTTGTGATTTGGCACTATATAAATAAAATTGAATTGAATTGAATTGAATTACAACCAACAACAGTAGCGAATACAGCGTGCGTGCATGAATACCAAAAAAATATAATAAAGTAAAATGAATTCAGACCTGGGTCTTTTCAATGTCAGTGTTGTCCAGTTCAGGCCTGTTGGGTGATCTGGGCACTTTACTGGTGTGAAACCAGTCCAACAATCAACGTATGTTTTGCACATTTTGTTCTGCCACAATCGGACTGCAAGATTCAGTTCCATATGAGCTGTGCCTCACCATCCATCGCAATGGAAGATCATCATTCTTCTGTTGATTTCCAGAAGGTCTGTGGAAGTTCTCTGTGGACTCTGTTTCTTGATATCCAATTTAAAAAAAAACTTACCAATGCAAAGCACCGTGTATTCACAAAAAACAGGTTTCCAGATGTAGCAGCTGACCGAACAGACCTCAGGCTTCAGCCGCTATCCAGCCTGAATAGCAACAACATTCCTTTAGCATTGTTGGTACACCTTTAGCGGGTGTAGCGCTAAGCAGCTTTACCAGTGTAAACAGACAGGAAACAGCTAAAGGCGGGACAACAAATCCGATTGGTTAAAAATGAAATCGTCCATCAAGGTCAGAAAATAATGATCATTAAACACAACAGAATATATAACAAAACAAAAAGTAACAAGGCTTTCAACCCAACGATAACTTACTTTTAAACAAGTTTATACAATTATTCAAAATTTAGTTGTGCTTTATTTTTTTTGTTTCTTTTTCTGATTTTGAAGATTTTAGACTGAAATACATTAAACTACATGAGCAATAATTCCAACAAAGGTTTCTACTCTTATGTGTTTGTTACTGTTACACGTGCTTCTCCTCTCCCATGTCCTCTCCTGTCTCCATCATCAGTGCTAACCATCTCCATGCTGCCTTCACTCTCATACGATGGCTGAAATATGTTTAAATTAATTTCAAGCTCATCTTACCTTGTGCACAGAGCAACAGTGGGTCAATGCAGTCAACTCTAGCAGCCTGTAACTTCTACACATTTACCTTTATCATCAGCAAATCATTTTTCATTATAGTTTGTTTTATTCTAACATTAAGTGAGAGTCTAATTATCTGTCCAAATGACAACAGTAACTTCAGGTTCTCATTACACTCAGTCTACAAAGCAGCTGCTCTCACTCAGTTCCTGTCGTCTAATGTGAAGATCAGATGAATCTTTAGCTGAAAATAAAAATCTGCAAACTTTGTTTTCCATGACATGAAGCTGAAAATGTAGCCTACAGAAAAATACTAATCCAAATGAGTCTGTTTAATTTTTGTTAATCTAACTTTATTTTTTGTTATGATGTGCTCTGTGTTACAGTCGTTCTGGGTCAGTATGGCTGGGGAGTGACTTACACTTCTACTCAGATCTGTGCTGTAAAAGGATCCACAGTGGAGATACGCTGCACCTTCACATACCCATCGACTATAAATGGAATAAGAGTTGACAAAAAATTCTGGTTCATCAGAGACGAAAATAAGGAACTTGTGGATCTGAAAACAGAGTCAGAGTACAGAGATCGTGTTCAGTATCAGTGTGAAGACAACGACTGCACTCTGAGAATCTCAGACCTCAGAGAGAGCGACTCAGCTGAGTACAAGTTCAGATTCATAACAAACGATCCAGGAGGGAAATATTCTGGTGTACCTGGAGTCACTTTGACTGTCACAGGTAACATGTTCATCCACTCGTTTACTATTTTAAATCCAAGTGTTTGCTGTGAGTGTGTTTGTGTGGTTTATCTGAATGTTGTCAGCTGAGCTTAATGTTCTTTATTTACTAATGGGCAGATCTGCAGGTGCAGGTGAGCAGATCAGCTGTCAGAGGTGATTTTAAGTCAGCAGATCTGAAGTGTGAGAGCAGTTGTCCTCTGCCTGATAATCTCTCCTACATCTGGTACAAGAATGAACAGATCATCACAGGACAAACATCTAATCTTCTTCTAAACTACCTGGATCCTACAAACAGGATTTCCTGTGCTGTCAGAGGATATGAGAACTTCCACTCTCCTTCAGTGGGTGAGTTTATGCTTTAACATAATGCCATGTTGTGGAGCCATGTGGCAAATGAGCTGTAGATTTTATAGGTTTTCATAAGGGTAACACTACTGGTTTGTATTTTCTGTTGATCACACAACCTGTGTAGTCGGAGCTCATAAATAGTTATCCTACACTGAGGTCACTGAAGGGAGGAGACCTTTCTCATGGGCTTATACTGAGGCCTTATCACATCGTTTTCATTTCTGTCCTCGGATGTTGTGACTCTGACTAATATCCAACTCTCTCTGTCTCACAGTGGTGAAGGATGTCTGGGATGTGACTTACACTTCTACTCAGGTCTGTGCCTTCAAAGGAGCAACAGCAGAAATACGCTGCACCTTCAGATACCCATCGACTATAAATGGAATAAATACAAGAGTTGTCCAAAAATTCTGGTTCATCAGAGATGAAAATAATGAACCTGTGGACCTGAAAACAGAGTCAGAGTACAAAAACCGTGTTCAGTATAAGTGTAAAAACAACGACTGCACTCTGAGAATCACAGACCTGAGAGAGAGCGACTCAGCGAGTACAAGTTCAGATTCATAACAAACGATCCAAGAGGGAAATATTCTGATGTACCTGGAGTCACTTTGACTGTCACAGATAAAATAATTTTCAGTGGAAGTAACTTTAAACATTTATAAGCTTTTCAGCTGTCTGTATGTTGAGAGTTTGTTTTAATATAATATCTGTTGTTTGCTCCCAGGTCCACAGCTCCAGGTACATGTGAGGAGATCAACAGTAAACTCTTATTCTAACTGGACAGAGCTGACATGTCACAACAACTGTCAGCTACCCGATCAATCTTCCTACATCTGGTACAGGAATGGACACAAACTTTCATCAGACGAACAATATTTACACCTCAACACATTTGATTCTGCAGACAGTTTTCACTGTGCTGTGAAAGGATATGAGCAATTCCCTTCTCCAACAGTGTGTGAGTTCACTACTTTTTGTTTCATTAAGAGAATTATATTTAATTTTTCTTTATTTACGTGAATGTGTCTGTATGTTAGTTTTAGTCAGAGGCCTTTCTTTTGGGAGGTTTACAATGTTTTCTTTTTAGAATATAAATTTCTAAAATTTGGTTTTGTTGTGATTCTTATGTTTCCTCCTCCAGATGCTCCAAAGCTTCCCTCTGTGTCAGTGAGTCCCTCTGCTGAGATAGTGGAGGGCAGTTCAGTGACTCTGACCTGTAGCAGTGATGCTAACCCAGCAGCTAGTTACACCTGGTACAAGGAGGATGTCATCAACCCTCTCATTTACCAAAACCAACATTTTTTCTTCTCCATCCTGCCCTCTGACTCTGGAAAGTATTACTGTACAGCTGATAATGACCTGGGACAAAAGAGATCTGAAAGCAGAACTATTGATGTGAAATGTGAGTAAAATACATTTATAAGCTGTAAAGACTTTTTGAAGAGCTGTGAGACTGCTGCAGGAATATGGAAAAACTTGAATTACATATCACGAAGACCATGTTTGCAGTTTTTAGAAATACTGTTATTCTTTTTATTTTCAATGGTTGAGTGTGTGAGCTGAACTATTTTTATGCATTCAAATAGAAAAAAAAAAACAGAATTCCATGATTAGAAAATGTCATAAACAAATTTTACATGTTTTCTATTCATAATAGAACATAAAAAAATATCAGCTGAGAAAATGTACGATTTAAAGAGTACAAGTAAAGTATTTGTTCATTCTGAGTTTCATGACAGTAACACAAGTCCAAAAATTTGGATGGGGCCAACAAAAGGCTGGAAAACTAAGAGTTACTAAAATCATCTGGAGGAACATGTTGCATCAAGTTAACTGGCAACAGTCTCGCAACACGTTTGGGTATAAAAATAAAATCCGAGAGACGCAGTTTCTCAGAAATAAAGACGGGCAAAGGTTCTTCAATCTGTAAAAACCTGTGACTACAAATTGTGGGAATTTTACAAAATTATCGTCCACGATTTTATGTTTTAAGACTCTGGATATCTGACAAACTACATTACATGATACCATCAAATATTGAGCGAATCTAGAGAACTCTGTGTGCATAAGTTGCATTGACTGAGATGAATATTGGATGCCTGTGATATTCAGACCCTCAAAAAGGTAAAAGTGTCTCTGCTCCAGATCTTTTGAAAATGTGCTGCTGTCACTGAATTCAAAATATGCTTATTAGTTTGCAGAGTTTGGCTAACCTTAGCAGCACAGACAGAAGTTGGTTTCTTCCAAGCTAGCATCCACTCCTTTATGCCGAATGAGACTGCCTTTGCCAGTGGGCTGTCATTTGCTTCCTTTCCTGGTTCTCCTTTACATCCTTCCTTCTTTTTGGATGCTCAGTCATCGGTCAAGAGTGCAGCCCAGGTTACTGGCCAGTGGGCTCTTCATCTTTGAACAAGTAACTGCCATTATATATTAATACAATAAGAAGACCACAGACTAGAGTTTAAGGTGACTAGCAAGGGCAGCAATATTTCTAGTTGGTCATATCACTAATAAAAAAAAAAGTGTGTAGGGTATGAATGCTGGGTATTCCATCCAGCCTAATGCAGAAATTAGTCAGCTTTATGCTTTTGAAAATTGGAGGACAAATGGCAGGATATGTTTTATAATCTAAGATACAGTGGCTTGCAAAAGTATTCGGCCCCCTTGAACTTTCCCACATTTTGTCACATTACAGCCACAAACATGAATCAATTTTATTGGAATTCCACGTGAAAGACCAACAAAGTGGTGTACACGTGAGAAGTGGAACGAAAATCATACATGATTCCAAACATTTTTTACAAATAAATAATTGCAAAGTGGGGTGTGCGTAATTATTCAGCCCCCTGAGTCAATACTTTGTAGAACCACCTTTTGCTGCAAAAACAGCTGCCAGTCTTTTAGGGTTTGTCTCTACCAGCTTTGCACATCTACAGACTGAAATCTTTGCCCATTCTTCTTTGCAAAACAGCTCCAGCTCAGTCAGATTAGATGGACAGCGTTTGTGAACAGCAGTTTTCGCCACAGATTCTCGATTGGATTTAGATCTGGACTTTGACTGGGCCATTCTAACACATGGATATGTTTTGTTTTAACCCACTCCATTGTTGCCCTGGCTTTATGTTCAGGGTCGTTGTCCTGCTGGAAGGTGAACCTCCGCCCCAGTCTCAAGTCTTTTGCAGATTCCAAGAGGTTTTCTTCCAAGACTGCCCTGTATTTGGCTCCATCCATCTTCCCATCAACTCTGACCAGCTTCCCTGTCCCTGCTGAAGAGAAGCACCCCCAGAGCATGATGCTGCCACCACCATATTTGACAGTGGGGATGGTGTGTTCAGAGTGATGTGCAGTGTTAGTTTTCCGCCGCACATAGCGTTTTGCATTTTGGCCAAAAAGTTCCATGTTGGTCTCATCTGACCAGAGCACCTTCTTCCACATGTTTGCTGTGTCCCCCACATGGCTTGTGGCAAACTGCAAACGGGACTTCTTATGGTTTTCTGTTAACAATGGCTTTCTTCTTGCCACTCTTCCATAAAAGCCAACTTTGTGCAGTGCACGACTAATAGTTGCCCTATGGACAGATTCCCCCACCTGAGCTGTAGATCTCTGCAGCTTGTCCAGAGTCACCATGGGCCTCTTGGCTGCATTTCTGATCAGCGCTCTCCTTGTTCGGCCTGTGAGTTTAGGTGGACGGCCTTGTCTTGGTAGGTTTACAGTTGTGCCATACTCCTTCCATTTCTGAATGATCGCTTGAACAGTGCTCCGTGGGATGTTCAAGGCTTGGGAAATCTTTGTGTAGCCTAAGCCTGCTTTAAATTTCTCAGTAACTTTATCCCCTCATGGTGTTGTTGCTCCCAATATTCTCTTAGACAACCTCTGAGGCCGTCACAGAGCAGCTGTACTTGTACTGACATTAGATTACACACAGGTGCACTCTATGTAGTCATCAGAGATGGGCAGTAACGCGTTACTTGTAACGCGTTACTGTAATCTGATTACTTTTTTCAAGTAACGAGTAAAGTAAGGGATTACTATTGCAAAATCGGTAATTAGATTACCGTTACTTTCCCGTAGGAACGCTGCGTTACTGCGTTACTAAAACCGTGATTTTTTTTGCGAGAATGTCTCATGACAGTGACGTAAGCAAGTGCGACGTTGGTGACAGCAGCTGTGTGCAGATCAACAATGGATAATATATCGAGTGCGGGAGAGAGTATGAGCGTGCAGCGTTTAAAGTGTGGAAGTACTGACCTTACTTTGAGTTTGATTCCATAAAAAGTGACAAAAACATTAGCGTCCATCGTGCGTGGGAAGAAAACTTCTTTTTACAGCGAAAAAAACCCCTAAACTTCCGAGCAAGCACTGAGTAGCTACGACGTAATGGGAAACTCACAGAGACACTCGCGCGGATTCTTCAACTGACCGCAGCACACCTACACCAGGGTAACCCTCCGCCTACCCTGCTCCTGCTTTACAGGTGAAAATAGAGCAAAAGGACCGCTGAGTCTTTGACTTTATTTATTTTCTGCTGTGTTTTACTTGCATCTGTTTGAAAGAGTGAGTGAAAACACAAAAAATATTTTATTTTATGTGCTGGAATGTGTAGAAAATAGGTTTAAATGTTAAACTAATTTATTCAAGTCAGAGAATGTTGCATATAATTAAATGTTTTGCTTGATGCATAAAGTTAAAAGATTAAAACTGATAAAACAAGTTAAAAAAAGAGACTTTTCCATTTGATTACATTTTGTATGATGGATTATGTAGAAAAAGTAGAATTGGGCTGAAAGATCTATCACTTTATCACCTCTTCAGGTTGTAAATCGTGTTTTTAAAAAGTAACTAAGTAACTAAGTAACTAAGTAATTAATTACTTTTGAAAATAAGTAATCAGTAAAGTAACGGGATTACTTTTTGGGGGGAGTAATCAGTAATTAATTACTGATTACTTTTTTCAAGTAACTTGACCAACACTGGTAGTCATTAGCACTCATCAGGCAATGTCTATGGGCAACTGACTGCACTCAGACCAAAGTGGGCTGAATAATTACGCACACCCCACTTTGCAGTTATTTATTTGTAAAGAATGTTTGGAATCATGTATGATTTTCGTTCCACTTCTCACGTGTACACCATTTTGTGTTGGTCTTTCATGTGGAATTCCAATAAAATTGATCCATGTTTGTGGCTGTAATGTGACAAAATGTGGGAAAGTTCAAGGGGGCCGAATACTTTTGCAAGCCACTGTAGATGAACACATGTAAGAACCGTTACAAATGTCTACATTCGCGCTTCCGGCGCCCCCCGTGTGCGGCAGCCTGTTACAGCAGCTCTGCTCATTCTGAGTTTCTTTCTTTCTTATCTTTTTTCTCGTAATTTTTTTATAACTAACGTATTAGTAATTAGACTCTGCAACCATGTTCTGCTGTTTTGTGCTAGTCCTGGTCGTTTTTCTCAGTTTATTTCTACTTTTTTCACCCGTGTCTGGGGACCCAGAGCAGAGATCCTTTGTTTACAGTAAGGATCAGCTGTTAGCGCTGCGTCCTGCAGCGGTACTGCCGGCGGACAGACCCGATATTCCCAGCGAGCTGAGGAGGAAAAGACGGGGGTGTCGTGCTGGGAAGGAGCGCCGTCGCCCGAGAAGGAGACGTTATCGACCATCTCTTCCTTCTGTAATTATTGGAAGCGTAAGATCTTTACCCAATAAGATGGATGAGCTCACGTCGCTAACCTGGTCACAGAGGGAGTACCGGCAATGTAGCATCATGATGCTAACGGAGTCGTGGCTAACATCGCTAACTCCGGACACAAGCGTGACACTACCGGGATTCCAGCTGCTGCGAGCGGACAGGACCAGAGACAGCGGTAAGAGGAAAGGAGGGGGACTGGCAGTTTTTGTGAACGACAGATGGTGTAACCCTGGGCACATCACTGTAAAAGAGCAACTCTGCAGCAGAGACATTGAGCTGCTAGCCGTTAGCATGCGTCCGTACTACCTGCCCCGGGAGTTCTCGCATGTTATTGCGATAACAGCGTATGTCCCCCCCTCGGCCAACGCGGATGCAGCCTGTGACTCTTTCCACTCTGTGGTCAGCAGACTGCAAACACAATCACCGAGAGCCCTTCTCATAATATCAGGGGACTTCAATCATGCCTCACTGGACTCCACACTGCCCACCTTCACCCAGTATGTGACCTGCCCAACCAGAGTCAATAAAACACTGGACTTACTGTATGCCAATGCAGAAGAGGCATACAGTTCATCACCTCTCCCTCCCCTGGGCAGATCTGATCACAACCTGGTGCACCTTGTCCCTGTGTATGAGCCCTTAGTGCGCAGGGAGCCACCAGCCACCCGCACAGTACAGAGATGGTCAGAGGAGAGCGAGGAGGCTCTTAAGGATTGTTTTGAGTCGACTGTGTGGGAGGTGATTTGTGATGACCACGGAGAGGACATCGACAGCCTTACTACATGCATTACTGACTATATAAACTTCTGTGTGGATAACACTGTACCTACCAGGACTGTACGGTGTTTCTCCAACAACAAACCTTGGATTACCCCAGAAATTAAAACCGTCCTCAAGCAGAAGAGGAGGGCCTTCAAATCCAGAGACAAAGAGGAGTTGAAAAGGGTGCAGAGAGAGCTGAGGGGACTGATAAGGAATGGGAAGGAGAGCTACAGGCAGAAGATGGAGAACCAGCTTCAACAAAACAACGTTGGTGAAGTCTGGAGAGGCCTCAGAACCATCTCGGGCCACAAACAGCAGAACTCTCTGCCTGGGAGGGATGTGACGTGGGCAAATGAACTGAATCATTTCTTCAACAGATTTGATTCAGCCATGAGGCAGTCTGCAACATCGGCTGCAGACTCACCCACCCCCACTGCTGCTGTTCCACCTCAGACACTTCACACCTCCTCTATTCACCCTGCTCACTCCCCCCCACCCCCAACTGCAGCATCCAATACACACTCAACACAAGGCTCCAGCCTGTCTCTCTCAACCACCCAGGTTAGGAGGGAACTGAGGAGGATTAATGGCAAGAAGGCAGCGGGTCCAGATGGCATCAGCTCGAGGGTCGTCAGGTCCTGCGCGGACCAACTGTGTGGGGTGATGGAGCACCTCTTCAACCTGAGCCTGAGGTTGGGAAGAGTCCCACAGCTCTGGAAAACCTCCTGTGTTGTACCAGTGCCAAAGACTTCACGCCCCAAGGACCTCAACAGCTACAGGCCGGTGGCTCTGACATCCCACCTGATGAAGACCCTGGAGCGGTTGGTCCTGGCTCAGCTTCGGCGCCTAATAAGCTCATCACTGGACCCACTTCAGTTTGCCTACCAGCCTGGCATTGGAGCGGATGATGCCGTCATTCACCTCCTACATCGTTCCCTCGCTCACCTGGAGACCGCTGGGAAGCACTGTGAGAATCATGTTCTTTGATTTCTCCAGTGCCTTCAACACCATTCTTCCCTCGGTTCTAAAGGACAAGCTGGTGAACTCTGGAGTGGACCATCACCTCACTACCTGGATCCTGGACTACCTCACCGACCGACCACAGTATGTGAGGACTCAGGGCTGTGTGTCGGACAGGGTCGTCTGCAGTACGGGGGCCCCACAGGGAACGGTTCCGGCTCCGTTCCTCTTCACCATCTACACTGCAGACTTCTCCCACAATTCCACCCAGTGCTTCCTGCAGAAGTACTCTGATGACTCTGCAATAGTCGGCCTCATCACTGATGGGGACGACAAGGAGTACAGAGGTCTGACCCAAGACTTTGTGGACTGGTGCCAGCTGAACTACCTCCAGATCAACGCCAGTAAAACCAAGGAACTGGTGGTAGACTTTCGCAGGCACAAGCATTCTCCACTGCAACCACTGAACATCCAAGGTATGGACATTGAGGCTGTGGACAGCTACAGGTACCTTGGTGTTCATCTGAACAATAGACTGGACTGGACTCATAACTTAGACGCCCTCTACAGGAAAGGGCAGAGCAGGCTGTACCTGCTGCGGAGACTCAGGTCGTTTGGAGTGGAGGGCCCACTCCTGAAGACCTTCTATGACTCTGTTGTGGCTTCTGCTATCTTTTATGGTGTGGTCTGCTGGGGCGGCAGCATCTCTGCTGGGGACAGGAAGAGACTGAACAGGGTGATCCGAAGGGCCAGCTCTGTTCTAGGATGCCCTCTGGACCCAGTGGAGGTGGTGAGTGACAGGAGAACGGCGGCTAAGCTGTCATCCCTGTTGGACAACATCTCCCACCCCATGCAGCAGACTGTGACAGCACTGAGCAGCTCCTTCAGTGGGAGACTGCGGCACCCACGGTGTGGGACGGAGAGATTTCGCAGGTCTTTCCTCCCCACTGCTGTCAGACTCCATAATAAAGACTTTAACTGATCAAGCACACACATCCATACATATGCAATAATACTAAGTGCAATAATCCTTTCTGTCATCGTTGTATTTTTACTCAGTTGTATATAGTATTTGTATTCTATTTTTATCTTATTGTATATTTATTTTATTTTATTCTACTGTATATAGTATTTCATTTTATTCTATTCTGTACAGTTGTGTACTGTATTTATTCTTATTGTATTCTAATTTTTGCCTCATAACTTTTGCACTGTCCACTTCCTGCTGTGACAAAACAAATTTCCCACGTGTGGGACTAATAAAGGTTATCTTATCTTATCTTATCTTACATCGAAATCTCAGTAAATAGTGATATATAGTTTGATCCGATCATTTCCACTTTCAAAAGTGTGTTCATACAAATATTTGAGACATTTCTTTAAATAACAGACTGCTTTATCCAACTGAGAACATCAACTGCAGCTTCTCATTACACACAAAGCAATTCTTCAAAGCAAAGCGGTTTCATTGAGATTCCTCTAATATTGAAATCAAACAAGTTTTTAGCTGAAGAAAAACCTGCAGACAGTTTTAACTGTGCTGTGAAAGGATAAGAGCTTTTCCATTCTAACAGTGTGTGAGTTCACTTCTCTTACTCCTTTACTCCTCAATAAAGCTGATTTGTTTCGTTTTGGGAAGTTTACAATGTTTTCCTTTTAGAATATAAGCTATTAATATTTGAAAATTTGGTTCTAACTATATATTGTATATATTGTAATTACATATTGTATGTTTCCTCCTCCAGATGCTCCAAAGCTTCCCTCTGTGTCAGTGAGTCCCTCTGCTGAGATAGTGGAGGGCAGTTCAGTGAATCTGACCTGTAGCAGTGATGCTAACCCAGCAGCTAGTTACACCTGGTACAAGGAGGATGTCATCAACCCTCTCAGTTACCAAAACCAACATGTTTTCAGCTCCATCCTGCCCTCTGATTCTGGAAAGTATTACTGTACAGCTGATAATGACCTGGGACAAAATAGATCTGAAAGCAGAACTATTGATGTGAAATGTGAGTAAAATAAATATATTTTTTAAGTACATTGTCTTAGTTTAACATGTGGTATGTTTTCTGTGTTCTGATGATTTGCAAAACAATATATTGTATTTGTATTTTATTTATATTTTACACAATTTTGTCACACTTTTTTGGACTAAAGGTTATTTAGGATTTTTTTTTTGTTCTGTGAATGTCTTTTAATAAATATAACACATCAATGTACTCTTTTACGTATTGTAAAATTATGATATTATTTTATGCCATGTTATACCCCTAATTAAAGATTGTGAATTATTATGTAGTTTTAGTTTGCATTATTCTCCTGAATTAGAAGAAGCTGATAACTATTGCATTAGTTAAACTGATTTGCATTACATTAAATTGCTGACTTGTTGTGAATGAATGATATTGTTTTATGATGCATTATATTGCTGAGTTATAAGAAATACTGTTCGCAGAAGGTTATTGTCTAATTTGTCTGAGTAGAAGAGAACAGAGTGTGCTGGAGTTTTCTGCCCCATTTCAGCAGGAGCAGATAAACAGGGAGCCAAGGTCGTAGCTTAGGCGCTGTGTGAGAGAGAGCATGTGAATGTTTAGGTTTTTTATGATAAGGTGGAGGCACCAGAGGTTATAAAAGTTTGAGCAATGCTCCACCATTTTGAGATTTTGAGGCTGTCTGCATCAGTGTCCATCTCCCACGTGTGTGATCATTAAATCATCGTTTGACTCAACCCGGCCGGACCAGTGTTGTTATTGTGGTTTTTTCTCTTGTCTCCATCCCCAATATTTTGAACCTTAACAGTATGTAACTTAGTTTTTTCATTAACAGTGTGTGTGTAAGACACTGATAATTTACATTAAACTCTTATTTCTCCTCCAGATGCTCCAAAGCTTCCCTCTGTGTCAGTGAGTCCCTCTGCTGAGATAGTGGAGGGCAGTTCAGTCACTCTGACCTGTAGCAGTGATGCTAACCCAGCAGCTAACTACACCTGGTGCAAGGAGGATGAAAACTCACCTAAAGCATCAGGACACAACTTCACCATCAGCAACATCAGACCTGAGCACAGTGGGCGTTATTACTGTGTGGCCCACAACAACAGAGGGACTCATAACTCCACCTTACAGCTGACTGTTGTAGCAGGTAATCATTGAGGATGTACACATCCTGTACAGGGAAGAACGCTGGTCTGAGCGGGGAGTCAAGGAGACCATTTACGTGAAAAGGGAAAGACCATCTCTGAATCGAGGAGGGGGCCTAAGGGTACATCTTTCACCATCTTACAATGCTGTGATTGCAGCCATTCCCCAACTCTCTGTGAATGGTACTCATGGCTGTTGATCAGTGGTCGTGAGAATTTGCATTTTAATGATCTAGGAACTGACCTCCCAGTCCATTGTTCATTCAGTGGTGCTAGTTTCAGTCATTATGCAAATGTACATATGTACTCATAACTCCACCTTACAGCTGACTGTTGTTGCAGGTAAATTTTACACTCCTTAAAATAACAGATGTAAAGTAAATACAGTACACACATTTATACAGTAATTAGTGTGGATGCTGATTAAGCATTGAAGAAAGAAAACAACAGTGTTTGATCTACAGCCATTGTTTTTACCTCCAAACAAAACCATCGTTGTTTTCTTTCAGACAGTGTGTCTTCCAAAGCTCAGAGATGCAGAATATGAACTTTTAATGGTTATTCAGATGTTTTCTGATGCTAAATTTTCTTTTGTCATTACTCAGGTTTTTCTAATACACATTTTAAACATGTTCGGCTATTTTCCAACTTCTGTGTGAACTTCAGCTTTGAACCGTTCTGCACTTTTGTTTTCAAGTGAAAAATTCTTTATTTTTCACTTAACATTCAGCAATTATTTCATTTCAGCTCAAAATATCAGTTATCAGCATTCACACTGCTGTTTCTTCAGAAAATGCATCTTTTAGTATGTTAATATAATTGTTATATTGTATACAATATTTTAAAGTTATTTATTCATTCATTTTAAAGGAAAAACATTTGTATGAGTGGATTATGACAATGAATAACTAATAGCATCACCTGGCAAACAACAAACAATCTAATCTTACTGCTGAGAAATCTCTGCCATGTATTTGTCTCTGTTTTAGGGAAATCCAAAATAATAATCATGAATATCATCAGGCTGACTCTGGTGGTCCTGATCCTGATTACTCTGCTTGTCTTGAGTCTGTTGACGAGGTAAAACAATACAAACACTTTACCCCTCTTTTATTTTCCCATTAGACTCTTAGCTTGAAAGTTGAAAGTTCATAACATTTATACTAAAGTTTTTTTAGTTTTTTTTTTTATTATATCCAGGAGGAAGAAGCGCATCATCTTAAAAACTGAACCAAATGAACCTGTAGAGATGACTGAGGTTTGTTTATTTGCATTATTGGAGTTGGCGCAAATGCCACTCAGCAAATGACTTATTATGAAATACATGCACATGTTTTATGAGTGAAGCTGTTTCAGTCTGAGCATTTAATCTCTCTTCATTAGGTATACTCTCATCCTGACTGAATCCCGATGAATCGTCAAAGGCTCTGACTGCAGCACAGACAGATGACAAGGAGGAGCAGGAACAGCTGGTGTCAAGTCCAGTCAGGTTACAGCAGGTGTTCAGTTCAAGTGTCACAAACAGCCCTTTGTGTTAGACCATTAAAACTAAAATGTTTGCTTAATAAAACAAAGACTGCCACAATTTGAAATGTCTTCTTCTTCATGTATGAAACCTGCGCTGAGCAGCCTGTGGTGTTTTTCCACAGTCAGCCAATCTAATGTCATTACAAAGAAATCTACTGAGCTTATACTCTAAATAAATATAAAAAATAAAATACAGAGACAGTACTGGGAGTTCTTTTTCTGTGCTTTGCTCCATAATCAAAATGATCAACAATTTCTATTAATTTACAGAAATGTTTTTGTGCCCACTATGAAAGACACCGAGATGCTTTTGTTTAATGGTATCATTTATACAAAAAATAATGTCAATCTTCTGTTATTCATTTCAGCAGTTCATCCTTTAATGCTTTATCTGTCTCTTACTTCGGTGCAGTGTGGCAGACAGTGGGTAGAGTGAGCGATATGTTTGATACACCTGAGACTCAGGCTAAAGATATTTAGCCTGAAAGTTCCCACATCATCATATTTAGTCAAAACAAGTTAGCATGTATTTGTTTTGTTATCAAAAGTGTTTTTATTCAAGATACATTTTAGAAAAAAAAATGACGATGGAAGGATCTGTAATTCTTGTACATAACTGTGAAATCCCTTCAAGTCATTCTCACTCTCAGCCTAATGAACCAAAAAGACATTTGTTTTTCTACCTTCTTTGTTATTTTGATCATTAAGTGGTGCTTAATGCTGGGAACCACTGTAAATTATGCCTTTGCATTTTTATTATGTCTTTAGTAAGGATTTAAAATTAAATGTAAAAATTTTGCTTTGTATGTAAGAATTTGCATGTAAGGCTGTAAACATAAATACAGAATTGGAAAGACTTCAGGTTTTATTGTCACACTGAAACATCTCTGGCTTGTTTTGTTAAAAAGAAATGAGTTTGACAATGTTGTGGGTCTTCTCCTGTATGTGGTACGGGTCATATCACTGTCAACTATTTTCACTGACTGAGTATTTTTAAAACAATTTTTACTTTCCTCTTTTGGACACAACTTTCTAACATTGTGGTTCAGGTCAGACACTTTAAGACTCACATTAACTCACATAAATAACAGGGAGTTTTAAAGTAAACGTAGAATTTATGTGGAAATGACAGAAAAAGCGAGGCAGTGCCTCAAAGGAATGAATGGCCACACCTGCCATTCACAGCGACTAGCTGCACAAGTTTATGTCGATCATGTTTGTTTGGAAAAAGCATGCAAATGTCAGGGAAAGATTCCCCTCTCTCTGCCATCTGTTACGATCATCTTCCACCCTCACTTATAATTGTGCAAAATGATATTTTTGCACAATGTGCACGGGCACATTGTGGTATGTGCCTGACATTGTATCTGATATAATTGCTGATTATTTAAACGTAAACTCTCAAAGACGGAACCTTATACTATTTTAAAATGAAGATGAATATCCTTCCTCGTCTTTTATATATTATCTTTTATATATTTTTGAACACTGTCGGTAGAAGTAAGTGATAATGAGTTTACAGAGTGGGACAAATAGATTTCCTAATTCATCTGGCAGGTTATGAAACGTAGAATCATTTCAGTGTTCTGCAGCAAGGATAAGAAAGAGGAGGGATGGCTCTACCATGCTTAAGAAACTACTACCTTGCAGGACAACAAAGACTACAAGGATAATGGAAAAAATCTGAATTGGAATTATGCACCAATATTACACTTCAAGCAGTTATTGCAGATGGATTTCCTGCAGACAAATTAGACATAAAATTGAACTGGAAAAGTTTTACATTGAAATTATGGCAGAAAGTTGTCAAATTATATAAAATACAAATTATGCTGAAACTTTCAGATGGTGCACATATGATGAGACTTTTTCCCTAAAAACATTTGAATCCTGGATAAAGAAAGGACGACTTACATTTCATTCTCTCCAAAGGGTTTAAAACAGGGGTGTCAAACTCAATTGCACAGGGGGCCAAAACTTAAGGCACGCTTTAGGTCGAGGGCCAAACAAGATAAACATTTATTGAACACAGCAAAACAATGTTTTTTAAACATAAATATGAATAAAAACAGACAGGAATATTATTCCAGATTAAATAAACTTAAAAAAAATAAACTTTAACTTTAAATATTTTGCTCTTCATAAAACTATATCCTGTCAAAATTATACAATTTAGAAATATTAATGATAGGTTTGTAGCGTAAACTTATTCGCTGGAACGTTAAGGACAATTTGATTACACAGCAAAAGCAAGACACAAGTAGGCAAAGTTCTTCGTGTTACTCATGCATGAGGGAGAGAACTACGACAAGCGACGTTCCTTCACTTGACCCCAGTCGCCCTCGTCCGCTTCCCCGTAACATTGTTCTTTTATTGAGCTCACATGACATTACATAGTTCATTAACATATGACATATACATACACACAAAGAGTACCTTGCCTGTGCGTTGTGTAAGTATGTGTGTATGTGTGGTGGGTCAGTGTGTGACCCCATAAATGACTTCCCTAAACCTGCTGGTCTGTAAGTCCAGCAGTTCATCTAAACCAGGGGTAGGCAGCGCCAGGCCTCGAGTGCCGGTGTCCTGCAGGTTTTAGATCTCACCCTGGGTCAACACACCTGAATCAAATGATTAGTTCATTACCCCTGGAGAACTTCAAGACATGTTGAGGAGGTAATTTAGCCATTTGAATCAGCTGTGTTTGATCAAGGACACATCTAAAACCTGCAGGACACCGGCCCTCGAGGCCTGGAGTTGCCCACCCCTGATCTTTTGTCATTTTTTAAGGCTATACGGCGTATATATATCTTCAGCTCTACACCACTTGTCAACATTTTCAGTGCAGGCTTCATTTCATACACACACATTAGCCTTAGCATCCATGTCACTCTGCTGCAACAATATAAAGTTGGTAAAGGTGTTAGCAATCATTTTATTCACCATCGATCTTACACATGGCAGGATGCAACCTATAACCAAGCAAAACAATGCCAACAATGTAAGAATGGGAGTCAAAACTTTAAGAACATATTCCACCATGGTCCAGATGTCAACCAGGCTATCCAGCCTTGTGACGCGTCTCCTCCTGATGTGTGGTCTGCCACATATTTCTGCAGAGCAGTTAAGTTCTGCAGTGCCTCGTAGATGTCCCTTCCAGTTGTTCCCATCACTGTCCACAGGACCAGAGTCCAAATGTATGTAGAATAACATTCAAACATGGGTCTCAGCTATCTTGAAAGCTGCAGGCCTCAGGCCTCGTCAGCCCTCCTGTTTTATGGCCTTTATCAACCCCCATCACCTCACTTCAGGCCTTTATCTTGTGGGGGATACTTATGACTCCTCAGTTGTCCATCCTCTCCAGGAAAATTCCTCTGTGGAAAGGGTGTTGGATCCAGTCATCTTACTGTTCTTATGATCCCAGCAGTCTTCAGAGTGTCATCGTATGCATAGTACAGTGACACAGCATTAGGTGATGTTCATAGGAAACTGCTGTCATCACCTCCACAGCTTCTGGTTCCTGTGCTTTTCACAGAATCATGATGCCATCCTCGAACTCCCTCTGCGCTGTCGATGGAGCGTGGCACGCTCCCCTCATCCTTCAGGTTCCCATCTGTTGTCCACAATCTCCTCTGTTGGCCTCTGGAAAGCCCCCTTGGCACAGCTCTCATTCCAACGCAGTTTCGTGGTCCCCATCCAGCTCGACCTTTGACCTCAACCACTGCCTGGGCTGTCAGCTATGCCTGGAATGGTTCTTGCTTCTCACTGGGCCTCTGAAGATTTCTCAGGAGATTCCTTTCAGCAACACTCTGACTGCTGCACCTATATTTCCTTGCTAGGAGGAAAAACGTCTATTTGGAAAGCATGTCAACCATCATCAAATAACACTCCTTAGTTCAGTGAACTTCACTTATAGGCCATCAAAGCCTCATCTGAACATGGATGCAACACTTTGCATAGGCTCAATACCTGTAAATGAACTGTTAATCACACAAATCACTGCAAAAATCCTAATTTAGAAAACATAGTTTCATGTAATTCATGTAATTCTGGACCCCTCCTCTTGACGCATGGACACTCCCATGAGTCAACTCATCAACCCTAGATTCCTGTCTTAAAGAAAAAGGTTAGCCAGAGCATGTCCCAGGCAACATCAAGGCGTCTCCTCCTCTGGAGCAGCCCCTCCCCGGACCTATAACACTGCAATAAAAAATGTTAGTGTGTTTTGCATACTAAGTTTCCTCAAAACCTGGCTCTGCTAGGAGCCTGCATACACACCATCATAGCCTGGAAAACAAGATCTGGAAGTGAAATCAAACTTCACACTGGTAAACAATTGTATCATGAGAGCATTCAGCATCAGCAAGACAAGTATCATGTGCAGGTTATCTCAAATCAGTAAACTACATTTATTGCCATAATTTGTTTGCCCATCATTACTGAACATGAGGTCTGCAGTTGGTGCAGTTCAGCTTACACAGAATGGACAAACCTCACTGTGTTCACGTTGAACCATTTTTTGCACTATTTTGATACCTACAGCTCCTAAATGGTCTGAGGCACAGTTTAATGTTGGCACTGCTAAAAGTAAACTTTCTACCCATTTCAATGGCAAAAATAAATATACTTTTCAAAAGTTTCAACACACTGTATGTGGTGTTTTGTGATCCACTGCTTCTTCCTAGTGATACTATGTACAATGATTAGATTTATAACACTGCTGCATCAACCCCAAAATGATGTGTTTGGATTTATAGCGGTTTGAAACAATAGAAATCGATTTAAAACAGACAGATAAAAAAGTGAGACATAAAACAAACATTGTTAATTTCAAATTTAGTTCCATTCATTTCATCATTAACTTGCACTCGCACTACTACACTGCCATTCTAGGTTCAGGCCATTAGGTGGCACAGTGCACTTGTGGCAGGATAGTGCTAACATGTAAGCAAGCTGGTATCCAGTTAGGGAAGCAACACAATTATAGAAGAATTCTGAGTAAAACCAAAGTTACTTTCCCTGGTAACTAGTTACTTTGAAAGTAATGAGTAACTTGAAAAAAACCAAACCCAAAAGAAAAAGCAAGCACACTTAGGCAAGGACAAGAAAAGAATTGTCACGGTTCTGGGTCAGTGTTGACCCAGCATTTTGAGTTTCTTATGTTTTGGTTTATTTTTGCATTATGGATTATTTTCTGATGCTCTGGTGCTTTGTTAATTTTTATTATTATAGATCTGTTTCAGTTATTCTTGGTGAGG